CAAAAAGATAAAATTGTGTTTTCTTTCACTCATAAAATAATTTCCTTTGGGATTTCTTATATGTGACATATGTTAACAAAGGAACACAAACTTTTCTTTCCTTTTGTTAGGTTCAGACTGCTCTGCCAATCTATTATTGCCCATAAACTCTTTGACTACGTGGTGCTGGCCTTCATATTCCTCAATTGCATCACAGTGGCTCTGGAGAGGCCAAAGATTCTTCAAGGTAGCCTGGTAAGAGGAATCGCTTTGAATTCATGTTGGATATTTCAAAATACTGCTACTCAACATGTACTAAACAGAGCAAGAAGCATGCTGTGTATGTGTGTGTCTGTAGATTTATATGTGCATGTGGTTGTTTCATTTTAATGGAGAGAGATAGATCAACCAAAAATGCAGAAAAAGATACTTTACATAGAAATTCTAAAACGATTTGCATGTCATTGAGTGAAAGAAGTATTTGATCCCATAACAAAACATGACTTGTGCTTGGTGGAGAGACGTTGTTAGCAAGCACAGCAGTAACACATTTCTTGTAGTTTGATTTGCACGCAGGATGGCCCACTCCTCTTTACAGAACTCTCTAAATTATTTAGGTTTTTGACCTTAGCGTGCTGCTTCTTTGTTGCTGGGGTGGTGTGTTTTAGGTCATGCTGGAAGATCTATCTACAATCTAGCGTTAATGTTGTGGCTGAGAGCAGCCAGTTCTCATCCAGGATTTTATGGCACTTGGACCCTCAGTGCAGTGAAATCATTTTGTACCCTTATCAGAAAAACAGGCCCAAAGCATAATGATTCCTCCTCCGTGCTTCACCATAGGGATGTGTAACTTTATGTAGTGTGGGACTTTTATCATTTTTTGGTGATATTCTGTCTCTCTCCATTGAAATGAAACTGTCATAAAAATGAGAGACTGCTCGCTTACAAAGAGCAAATGAACGTACAAATAAGGGGAATTGTTACCATCCAGGTAAAAATACCTTTCACTCCTCCGTTGACAACAAAATCAGTATCAGAATCCCACTTACTTTAAGTTCTTACTGCATTCTGGCCTCAAGCCACTTTCCTATAATTAAGTAACACTGAATTATTGAACAGTGAGCCCTTCGCAAGGAAAGTGATCAAGTGAAATGAAAACTTTCGAATTAAAGCACAACAACTCTTACTTGTTTGGCATTTCATTTTGATGGAATGTTAACAAAACCCTGACTAATGCGATCAGTGACAAACATTGATTCGCTCGTGTCCTTCTTAAAAGCTTCTCACTCAAGCCAAAGTCATCATTTCTGAAACGGCTTTTTCTGGCTTTAATCTGCCACCTCTGCTTTGTCTCTCTTAATCATTCTCTTCTTTTCTAATAAATCAAACAGTTTCTCCTTGATTTTTTGTGCCCCTTTTGTTGCAGGAAAGACTGTTTCTTACCATTTCCAACTACATCTTTACTGCCATCTTCGTTGGGGAGATGACTCTCAAGGTAAAATCCCTTTTGCTCTTTTATGCCTTCCTTACATATCTCGGTTTCCTTCTTTGACATCCTATCCAGTCTCTCCTCTTTCTTTCAGTCCATCTCTATTATTCTGCTTGTCTTTCCCTCTTCCTGAAATCTTCTCGTCTCCTTTCTCACCAAAATCATTCGTCTTTCATCTCATTTCCATGCTACTGTTCACCTTGTATTCTTTTTTAAAACATTTGTCTCATCTGTGGATTCTTTCTTCTACTTTTGTCTTAAAAAATCAATCTTTACCTTCCTTTCCTACCTCTTTCTGCAACCTACGTATTAATCAGTTGCACATGCCCCATTAGCGATGCACATCCAGATAATGAAGTTAGTTAGAAGGCTATCACTCTTAAGCTATCCTTTAGCTGCTCCTGGCCTTCC